AGCAGCGGTAAAACTAGAACAAGGTGTCACTCCTTTTTTCCAGTCATTTACGGGAGTAAAACAAGGTTGTAATCTTAGCCCATCCCTTTTTAATATTTTTATTAATGACATACCTAGTTTGTTTTCTAATTCATGTGATCCTGTACAACTTGGGGATTCCAAAATAAGCTGTCTTTTATATGCAGACGATTTAGTACTTTTATCGGAAAGTGAGTCTGGTTTACAGAATAGTTTAAAAGCACTAGAATCATACTGTAAAAAGTGGAAACTAAATGTAAATTTGAAAAAGACTAAAATTTTAGTTTTTTGCTYGCCGGCTCAAAAACGTTTATATCAAGCATCATGTTGGTATTTTAATGGTCAAAATTTAGATCATGTTGAGGATTATACTTACTTAGGTCTTACTTTTCACTATAATGGCAATTTTCATTTAGCGATTAAGTCTTTATATAACAGGGCATTAAGGGCATATCATAGTCTCATGAGTAATCTTTCAAATGAAGAAAACGTACCTGTTAGAGTGTTACTAAAACTTTTTTCAACTCTAGTTGTGCCTATTTTACTTTATGGTTGTGAAATATGGGGAGGCTTATCTTCTCAATAAAATCTCATCTTATGAAATCTTCAAACAAAAGTTTTTTTAATGTCATCAACGATATCGAGCGTCTTCATCTAAGATTTTTAAAACGCATTCTAGGTGTACACAAAAATTCGACTAATGTTACTATTTATGGAGAGCTTGGGAGAGCGCCATTAATTATTCAGATTTCAACTTTGGTGGCAAAGTATTGGATGCGTGTAAGTAATCCTTTATTTGAATCTACCCTTGTTGAAAAAGCAGCTAAATTTTGTATGCAAAGTAATCAACTAGGAGTTAATTTTACAAACTATCTTCTTTATATGTGTGATTTAAAATTCCTCGTCAATGATTTTACAGTTCCTAGATGAATTACATAGTTTTGGTAAATTCATAAAATCTAAATTAAACACTTATTATTCTCTGTTTTTGAACAATCAGTTACAGAAAGGAAATAAAAGTGGAAAACTTCGTACCTATTGCAAAATAAAGAGAAATCTTAAGTTTGAAAATTATCTTGAAAACGTTAGTAATGTTAGACATCGCCATGCASTGACAAAACTAAGAGTCTCAGCCCATAAGTTACCAGTTGAATCTGGTCGCTATCAGAAAATAGTTTACGATGACCGGAGGTGTAACTTATGTGGCTCGACTTCTGTAAGAGATGAACTTCATTACATAATGTTTTGTAAACATGAAAGACTCGAAATACTAAGGAAAACATTCTTACAAAATCTAGTGTTGATAAACCAAGTCTTCAGAGTATTTGAAGACCTTGATCTTTTTCAATATCTATTATCAATGCAAGATGAATCAATTACAAAATTATTTTCAAAATAYTGTTTTGAAGTTTTAAGCATATACAATGATGAATGTAATCAGTAATACACAATTAATTGAAGTATTATTTATATATATTGTAAACAGGACTTATACAGCCTTTTGCACAAATTATGAGACATTTATATATATATAAATATACCTAACCAAATATCAAAAACACCCAAGAAATTATGGGATACCGTCGCTGATATTTTGTCTGTAACAACCTGATGCTAGGCAGTCATGACAAAATATAATAGAGATATACCATAATTTCTGGGGTGTTTTTGATATTTGGTTAGGTATATTTATATATATAAAAATGTCTCATAATTTGTGCAAAAGGCTGTACAAATATATATATCATGATGATAAGAATGAATTTCTTTCATATTATTATTATTTTATTAGATTTATTGTTAACGTTGTATCTTATGTATCAATTTGATATTGGGAAGATTAAACCATTATTATTATTATTTATCAATCCCAATGTTTACTTATCTGCTCTCCATAGATTTATTTATACATACAATAATCCAAATTGGCCTGATACCATTTGAAACCAAAAGTTTTTCTTTCAGGCTCGATCATAAAAAAGGAATTCGAAAATTTGTTATTGACCTTAAAAGAGACATTTAAAGATTCTATGAATTGTAGTTTAACCCTACATGGAGAATCACGTCCAAAATGAACTATGTGAATTAGTTTGAGTGTCGGAGGAATTATCGCCATCTTAGGGGCAGAAATAATAAAAGAATACAATGAAGAATATATTATTGGCGAACATGCTATCATATCATGAACATATGCCCTCAATTAAGCAGCATTCGAGCGATTGTTAAATAAAACAATGAAAGGGACATGGTATACCAGCATTCAATGCCGTTGTGTGTTAAATTCTTCATATAAGGAAGATGAGGTCATAATATCCGTTCGCAATCTGTTTCAATTCATCGGTTTAAAGGTCGAATCTTACAGTATCTCCTAGGAGGAGCCGACGGGTTCCTGGGAGAAATACATCTGTTGTCATGTCCCAGACAGCTGTAAGTCACAACTGCTTACCAGCAAATAATTCAGGAAAAAAGAACTCTCCAGGCAAGAAAACCTTTCTAGGAATTTTTGCCAGGAAAATAATAATTTCCCAACAACAAAAAACCCTTTTGACCATAAAAACGTTATATAAGCCTTTTTTGGCAATGAAAACCTTTGTCAGGAACAGAATTACAAGAAAGAAGGAAGGGCGCCACATTTGCTTGTGAGATGTCAACAATGTCAACAATGTAGCTCAAAATCCCTTTCCATGGAAAAACTTCGTACAAGAACAGTTATTTAGAAGAACAGACCCCGTCGGCTCCTCCTGATCTCAAATCATATATAATATACAGGCGRGGATAATAAAGAGTACGTTTTTGCTTATATTACGATGTATTTTTTTTTTTCAAACATGAGCAAGAGCTCGAAGGGATGCTAGGAGACCATGTTCCTTAATTAAATCTTTTCAAAGTTTCAAACACAATGACAGCAATAACGTCAAAGCAAAAAAATTGTTATTGAAATCATCATAAGAATTAAAAGTTATCGCTCAATATATCCAATGTTCCTTTTTTGCACTCTGCATATAGCAATTCAAATGTGAATGACATACAAAAGAAGTTTTGCGAKTTGATGTTGATCAAACATTCTTGCAAAAAAATAAAAAATAAAAAAAAAATCTCACAAACAAATAAATTTTTTATGGGATCAAACATTTGCTTTGTAGTTATTGGATGAACACTTTATTTGGAAGTACGCTTGAAAATTTTGGCAATTTTCCAGCTTTTAGGACTTAAAAAGGCTTAAGGATATTGTAGAGAACGAGAAAACTAACATGTCAGTCTTGTTCAAAATCGCTGAGAGACCTGGCCTTTAGCAAAAGCGAAAAGAAACACAAAACAACATGGATCCCAAACTATTGTATAGGAATAGAACTTTTCGCGGTTAAAACGAAAGTAAAGCGAAATTTTGCAACGTGTTTGCAGTAGCCCTCAACTGATCAAGACTTTTTCCGATACGAAAAAAATAATTAATATAGCAAAAGGATTAACAACTTTAAAAGGGACTATTTTTTTCGTTGTTGCTCGATTCCGACCTAGGTCCTTTTCCCTTTATATCTTTACAACTTAACTAACTTAATTAACKGGGTTTCACTGTATTCTAACCACGACCGCAATGCATGCCATCTAATTATTGATTATTATTTCCCAAGATGCATCACGACAAGTTTTTGATAATACTGGTATTGTTCCTAGCTATTATGCAAATATCATGCAATGAACAATATGAGGAACAACGGGAGAAACACGAACAATCGACTGTAGGATGGAGACGAAAGAGGCGGAGTTTRCAAAATGAAGGTAAAGAAGAATGAAAGTCCTTATATCTGCTCTGCTCTGCTCTGCTCTGCTCTGCTCTGCTCTGCTCTGCTCTGCTCTGCTCTGCTCTGCTCTGCTCTGCTTTCGCCGGAATATCTGGCCGTTTCCCGTAGGGTGATGCTCATTTATTAGTGAAATACAACTTAGTGAACTGCACTAAGTCCACCTCACCCAATTTGTTTTTATATTTGGAAAGAAAAGATTTTTGTTATAGTAACAACAATTTGTACAAAAAAATTGATTAGTTAAGCTACATTTTGAAGCGGATTTCGGGATTCCTTTCTTTTTTAGACGAGCGAAGTGTGCCTGGTCATAGTCTTCGTGACGGAGTAAGTCGATCGAGAGACAACGATAGATACCTACAGTGAAATGACAGTAAAAGTCAAATCTGAAACAAGAGAACCTGGTATTTGAACAGTTGTAAATAGTACTACATTTTGAAAGAAGTTACTTACCGTAAATAACTTTTCCTGTTCCTCGATATAGGACCTTGATATAAGCAACACTTCTTCGTCCAGGATAATCTCTCATCACTTTGGCTCCATTTTTATAGCCAAGACATGAAATAACGTTCAAATCGTCAGACGAATCTCTAGTAACATTAGATTTACCGTTGCAGGTTGGATTGTCCCACGTTAAGTCTTAGAAAATATAGATTTTTAATGACATATGAGGAATTTGTACAGTAAACTTTTTATTCACCGAAGGTCGAGCTACTCCCTTTACTTCATCAACCCAGGCTCCCCTCACGCTCGGCCCAAAATCATTTGGCCGAATTTAACGAGCAAAAAAAAATATAGAATTTGGAAATTCGAGTTTTTTTACGTGAATTTGTGGTTCATAACCCCTTAACTTTTCTTTCCAAATTGGTGAGGTGGACTTTAATTATTTTGTACGTTTTTCTTTGTCTTCTCGGCATACCACACATTATTGCACTTTCACTCTATAAATGTTTGTTTCACGGGTTTAGAAAAAACACTCTATAGTGCTAGTTAGACTATAGAAAGAAGAAATAATATCCTTTAGGGACTGTACAATAATTACCAGGAGGCCGGGGGCGTAAAACCAGGCGGGGGCATTACATAAAATTGATGCCAAGATAGGGGAGTTTTACGCCCCCCTCCTCCTTGTAATTATTGCACACTCCCTAAAGTTGTTTTTGTCATTTTCTACAATTATGGTTGTTATTTACGTTGAATTTAACATAAAGAAAATAATGGAAATTTTGAATAAAACTTAAGACCCCCTCTGTTAATCAGGTAATTTTACTTTGAGCTCACCCTATCTTGCCATCAATTTTATGTAATGCCCCCACTCTGGTTTTACACCCCCCTCCTGGTAATTATTGCACAGTCCCTTATTAATATTTTGTATTATTAAATTTCACGGATTAAGTGAGTCGACACCATCAATGTGTAATGTCAACAATATACTCTTATTTTTCAGGATCCTACCCTGTTATTAAACCAGATGAAGCTAAACTATTCAAAAATGTCAAAAAATACATGATGAATTAATATAATTAAATCGCAATGATAGAAAAAACCTATAAACATTTAAATGGGTAAACATTTAATGCTTTGAAAAGTGTATTTAACAAAGAACTTTATGCAGACCCACTTGCTTCCCAGACTCCATTGCGACATTTTCGTGAATTATTTGAAAAATCGCATTTTTTTTCTTTTTCTTTTTGCTTGGTTTTGTTTTGTTTTGTTTTGTTTGTTTTGATTTTGTTGATGTTGTTGTTGTTGTTTTTTTTTTGCATTGATTATTACTTTGAACCATGCAACTTAGACAAAATAAGATATAACGTTTATTAAGGATTAACACCTCGAATTCTTTCGACTGAACTACGTCTATGAAAATATAATGAAATCAAAATATAATATAATATAAAAACATACGATATCATCGAATTATTACGATACATTAGAAATAGAAAAAAAATATGTTCAACATTTTCCACAGGTCTCAAAAAATCATCGCAAAAGTTCCTGGATGCAAATGGGCCTTTAAAGAAGAATAGTCATATTTATTGTTAAAACTCGTAAAGGTTTATATTCTCCTTATTGTTACATATGATAATTTCATTAAATAGCTTATTTCTCGACTGTATTGATAATTTTTTGGTTTGGGTACTCTTACGACCATCGGGAGTTGGATCAAGTAGATGGGACCGATCAATTTTTGAAATTTTGAACCTCGAAAATGAGTTTTCCAGGATTTTGTTGGTTGGCTTGGATTGACTGTATTTATTATGAAAATAAACTGTAGAACCACACACAAGCATACTTCCAGATTTGCGTCTCTTGTGATACTGTGTATTATAATCTAAAGAAAAATGTTAAAAAGTTACTAGTGCACTAAAAATAGTTTGGGTTACCCGTTTGATTGAACTTTTGATATGTAATTCCACAGGCTTCCCAATCTCTGAGGAGTTACGGGAGATGGGCTACCTGTGGTGACAATCTAAACATAGTCAAAATATCGTTTTAAACCGTATCTTTTGATTCTTGACAAATCAAAATTTAAAATAATGGTGTTTTAGTGTGTTTTGGAGGATTAGATTTCCACTCCCTCCACTCTGCAGGAAATGTTCAGAAATGTTCATAAACTATTGAAACATCTTTATTTTAGTTTTTTGATATTTGTCATATTAAATAGGATATTTGTATTTAGTAAAAAGGAATAAATTAAAAAGACAAAAGAAGATCACTGAGGCTGAACGCTCTCTTTTGTCTTTTTTAATTTATTCCTTTTTACTAAATTTAAATATTCTATTTTCCATGACGTTTTTGCAAGTAGGTGTATGTCAAGAATGAAAAGATACGGGTTAAAAACGATATTTTAACTACCTGTGAAAAGCCGTTTAGATGTCGCTACAGGTAGCCCATCTCCACAGAGACTGGGAAGCCTGTGTTATTTCATAATTTCCGGGAATATGGTGCTTTGCAAAGACTTGTATAATTGCACTGAGATATTTGTCGTCCAAATCTTCGATTTAAAGTTGTTTTCTCCCGTATTATAAACTTGTACAGCTGCAAAAAATACTTGTGAGTCTTTGACAGAGTGGATATCCACCTTCTGAAACCTTTTATAAAGAACAACGACCGAAGATTTTGTCCTGATACGAGACGGAAAATACGAACTTTCAAAACAACCATTAGCTGGTAAGGAATATTCAACAATTTTGTATGAAATCATAGCAATCATTTTTTAATTGGAATCAATCTGTTTTCTTTTAAGAAACTTTTGATTCTGATTATTGAATTTTGCAATTATAGTTCAGGCCATTTGAACTAAAGAAACCTACCCAAGTTACTATGGACAACAAGAGCTTTCGTTTTCATTACTGTCGAGTTTTTGTCACGATATTACTTGTTATTCCTCCGCTGAGAGCTGACTTCTCAGCAGCAGAAAGCTGCTTAGCGGTATCCAAAACAATCTTCAACAACCCAGACCCGTATAAACTTATCAAAGACCCAAAGTTCATCTTAGATCTTTTTGATTGTGTACAACTTGTTTATAAAGCTCTGAAGGACAGCGAGT